GCAGCACCTCCTCCGGCTTGCCGGGGCCCAGCGCGGGCGGGCGGAAGAGGGGGAAACAATGGGGGGCCCGGCCCCGGGGGGGGGCGGAGGAGGGGACGGTGGGGGGGGGCCCGGCCCCGGGGGGGGGGCGGAGGAGGGGACGGTGGGGGGGCCCGGCCCCGGGGGGGGGGCGGAGGAGGGGACGGTGGGGGGGGCCCGGCCCCGGGGGGGGGGCGGAGGAGGGGACGGTGGGGGGCGGGGGGGGGCGGAGGACGGGGGGGGGGGCCGGCCCCGGGGGGGGGTGGAGGAGGGGACGGTGGGGGGGGCCCGGCCCCGGGGGGGGGTGGAGGAGGGGACGGGGGGGGGGCCCGGCCCCGGGGGGGGGGGTGGAGGAGGGGACGGTGGGGGGGGCCGCGGACCTGCTCCAGCAGGTAGATGAGCTGGTCTCGGGCCAGCCGCTTGAGCACGCTGAAGTCCGGCCCGTCGGGCGCGTCGCGGCGGCCGGCGAAGGCCATGGTGGGCCCGGCCCCTGCGGCGAGAGGGACCGGGCCGGCTGCGGCCGCCACCCCTGGGGCACTGGACCGGCGCCGCGCCTCGCTCCCGGAGCCCCGCGCCCGCTTCCGCCGGAACTGCCGGTACCGGAAGTTCCGGGAGCCATGGCGACCAGGCCCGCCCCCCACTCCAGCCAGGGGGGCTGCGGGCCCCGCGGAGGGGCGGCCGAGACCCGCGTGCGCCAGGGCTGGGGGGCGCGGGGCGGGGGTCCTGGGGAGGGGGCGCAGGGCCCGGGGGAGGGGCTCTCAGGGGAGGGGCGGGGGTCCTGGGGAGGGGCTCTCCGGGGGAGGGGGCGCGGCTCTTCGGGGGAAGGGCGGAGGGCCCGGGGGAGGGGCTCTCTGGGGAGGGGGCGGGGGTCCCGGGGAGGGGCTCTCCGGGGAGGGGGCAGGGGGTCCTGGGGAGGGGCTCTCCGGGGAGGGGGCAGGGGTCCCGGGGAGGGGCTCTCCGGGGGAGGGAGCGGGGCCCGGGAAGGTGCACGGCGGGGGGCTGTGTGCATCCACACCCGGGGCCCCGGCGTCCGCAGCCCCCCAAGCCGGCCTCCAGCCCGCACCGCTGCCCAGTCAAGCCTGCCGCAGTCCAGCTGCTCCGCCCGTGGGCTTGGCAGCTCTGGTTCCCCGCAGCCCCTCAGAGCTCCCCAGGGCCGGAGGCCGACGCTCTGCCCAGACCTCCACAGCGAGGGACACAGACACCAGGCTCATGGCACTCAGGGCTTTTATTTAGAGACAGTCACTGGGTTGGGTCCCCAAGCTGGGCAGGCTGCACTCAGAGCCTGGACTCTGACCCCCAGTTAGGGTAGGACCCCCCCCCCCAGAGCCTTCGGGCCCTCACCCCACCTGTACTAGGGACAGGAAACACCAGCTGAGGGGAAGGGTCTGTCTACCTCTGCTCCCCCTCCTCAGCTGATCCACAGGGAGAGGTTTATGAGGGTCTTTGGGAGGAGCATATGCCCTGCTCCCTCTGGAGAGGAAGGTTCAGGGCTGGAGGCCAGAGGAGAAGAGAAGCAGTGGAAATGAGAGCGGCTTCTGCCCCCCCAGGAGAGTGTGGGTATTCTGTAGCTGGTGACTCCTTGGGCTTCAATCCCCTGTCCCATTCTGTGCTGCCCTTTATCTGGCCCCCCCTCTCTGTACCCTCCCTTGCCCAGGGGGCAGGAGTGCCTGAATAAATGGGTTTGTAAGAGGAGTCCATGCAAATATCACTGGATTGCTCGTCTGATCCAGGCAGGGGCTGAGGGAGCCCTGCAGTTGGCAATTGGCCTGTGGAAGTCTTGCTGTGGGAGTCAGTAGTTAACATCAGTGGTTGAACTGAAAGCCTTAGCGGCATTTGCTGGCAGGTGGCAGGCATCAGGCACAGTCACTCAGGTAGCCCTCGCTCCCTGAACAGCTGCTGCAACTTCTCCTCCAGCGCAGGGCTGGTCTCACGCAGACCCTTCACCACCTGTGAGGCCCAGAGGAAATACTCCTGGACCCGCTGCTCAGACCAGCCTAGGGCAGAGAGCACCATGTGGGTCAGAGACATACCAATACAAGCAGAGCAGCACATACATAGTGACCGGCTGTGACCTCAAGAGGCACACGCCAACTCACAGCCTAGGCTGCAAGAGTTAGGGCCCATGGGGATGGTACCAGGCCAAGGAAAGGAAAGAATCCCAATTACTTTGACGGAGGCATTCTGACAGTGAGGGGCAAAGCACCTGCCCCTCTGCTCAGCTCGGTATGCACAACCTCCGGAGGCAGACGGTACTCAGCCAAAGACAGGGCTCAGCACAGAGCCATTCTCCACATGATCAGGACGCAGAGACGCTGGACCAGTCTGTGGACACATGCAGACACCAGGGTGGGCACCAGGACTTTCCGCTCTCGACAATGCCCTGCCTCTCCTACTGCAGCTTGAGGCGGCTCCCCATTTGCTTCCTGTAGCAATAGGGCACATTGCGTCTTTCCAGAGCTCCCAACACTGAGGCAGACACCAAATGCATGAGTGGATGTGACACTGCAGCAGAGGGCTGCTCCAACACTTCCCGTGCCCATGGCCAGCCCACCAGCGGCAGGGAGCCCCAGGGTGCTAACCTGCCGGCGTGCTGCGGTTCAGGTCCCGCAGGTTGTACAGCTTGTCTGCCAGCTTGACCAGCCTGGCTCCCCGGCTACTGTGGGGCGCGCGCTCTATCTGCAGGCGCTTCCGCTCCATCTTGGGCAACATCTTGTCGTCTGTCACCTCCTCCACGATCCGCCGCACCTCCCCCCCAAACTGTTCCTCGATCTCGGAGAAGGTGGTGTCTGTGTCCTCCACCGTGTCATGGAGCAGAGCAGCCTACGGGAGAGGGGACAGCTGAGCGGCCGTTGGGGGTCCATGAAAACAAGGGGCAGGCTGGCTCTTCAAGCTGGAGCCCGGCGGGGGGCTCAGGGGCTTGTTACAGCCCCGCTCCTCCTGCCTCAAGTGCGGGACTTACCTGCAGCACCGCAATGTCCGTGACTCCAGCCTCCCGAGACAGGATCCTGGCCACACCTAGAGACACGGGGAGCGGGAGTCACGCAGGCAGCCAGGCCGCAGGACAGGCCATCCGGGGCGCGGAGAGCACCTGCTGCGGGCCGGCAGGACACACGGGGCCCCCACACATCTCGCTGAGGGGCTGCTCTGCAGGAGAGGAGCCCTCGCTGCAGCTCGCCCCCCCCCCCGGAACACACATCCCCCAGAACCCCCCCTCGGCTCGCCCCCCCCGAACACACATCCCCCCGAACCTCCCCTCGGAACACACATCCCCCTGAACCCCCCCTCGGCTCGCCCCCCCCCGGAACACACATCCCCCCGAACCCCCCCCGAACACACATCCCCCCGAACCTCCCCTCGGCTCGCCCCCCCGGAACACACATCCCCCGAACCCCCCCTCGGCTCGCCCCCCCCCGGAACACACATCCCCCCGAACCCCCCTCGGCTCGCCCCCCCCGGAACACACATCCCCCCGAACCCCCCCTCGGCTCCGCCCCCCGGAACACACATCCCCCCGAACCCCCCCTCGGCTCGCCCCCCCCGGAACACACATCCCCCCAAACCCCCCCCTCGAACACACATCCCCCCGAACCTCCCCTCGGCTCGCCCCCCCCCCCAGAACACACATCCCCCCGAACCCCCCCCCCGGCTCGCCCCCCCCCCAGAACACACATCCCCCCGAACCCCCATCCCCCCGAACCTCCCCTCGGCTCCCCCCCCCCCCGAACACACATCCCCCCGAACCCCCCCCCCCCGGAACACACATCCCCCCAAACCCCCCCCTCGAACACACATCCCCCCGAACCTCCCCTCGGCTCCCCCCCCCCCCCCGAACACACATCCCCCCGAACCCCCCCCCCGGCTTGCCCCCCCCCCGGAACACACATCCCCTCTCCGCGGCTCTACTGGCTCATCCCCCCTCCCCCTCGAACCCCCCCCCGATAGGTTCGCCCCACCGAGGACACATCCCCTCCCCCCAGCAGACCCCCCCGCCCTATCGGCTCATCCCCCCTCCCCCCGGAACCCCCCCGCCCAATCGGTTCCCCCCAGTAACACCCCCCGGCCGGCCCGCCCCCCACCGATGGGGTGGTTGATGTACGGGGTCCCCTCGGGGTCCTTCCGCCGCTGTTGCTTGTGCTTCCGGGCTGCGAAGTCGGCGGCCTCCAGCAGCCGGGCGGCCTCGGAGGCCATGGCGGTGCGGGGCGGCTGGGCCGGGCCGCAGAGCACGCCGGGAAGGCCCGGCAGTAGCCCCGCCCCCCGCCAAGCCCCGCAGGGACTAGCCCCGCCAGGCGCGCGACGCCTCTGGGGAGCCGTGACCCCGCGCATGCGCACCCCGGGCCCCGCCGGCCCCCCTCCCCCAGGCGCAGCTCCGCCCGGACCCCCCCGCGCCAGGAGCGCCCCGCCCCGACACCCCCCCCGCGCCAGGAGCGCCCCGCCCCCCCAGGCGCAGCGCCCCCCACCCCAGCCATGCTCCCCAGGCACAGCGCCACCCGGCCCGGACCCCCACCCCGCGCCAGGAGCGCCCCCCCCCCCCAAGGCGCAGGGCTGCCCAGACCCCCCCCCCCGAGCTCCCCCCACCCCAGCCAAGCTCCCCAGGCACAGCGCCCCCCCCCCCGGACCCCCGGCACCCCGGCCGACCCCCGCTCCAGGAGCACCCTGCCCGGACCCCCCCCATGCAGCGCTGCCCAGCCCAGACCCCCCCCCACGCTAGGAGCACGCCCCCCCCCGGGCACAGCACTGCCCAGACCCCCTCCCACACCAGGAACGCCCCCCCGGCACAGCGCTGCCCGGACCCCCCCACCCCGCCCCAGCCGTGCTCCCCAGGCGCAGTGCCGCCCAGCCCCCCGCTGCTCCCCGCGCCAGGAGCGCTCTGCCCAGGGCCGCCTGCCCCTTGGGCCGGCCGGGGGTGCCGCGGCCTCCGCGGCCCCGGGCAAGAGCCACGCACGTCCGGCTGCCACACGTCCAGGCCAAGGACACGCGCGGCAGCAGGGAGCTGGTCAGATTTTATTTGTCCCCGGGACGGGCCAGCAGCAGGGGCCAGCCCCGGGCCGGCCGGCAGTAACAGGCCACCCGCACGCCCTACACACCCTTTCCACCCCCAGGCTGCGGAGAGGGCTGCAGGCTGCTCTCCCCCTCCCCACGTGCTAGTCCAGACGGGGTCCGATACAAGAAATTCCCATGGCTGTCAAAATATTCCTGTCCCCTCTGCACCACCCTGGAGCTGGCGCCCCAGCCCTCCGCCGCCCACTCCACCAGCTCTTCCCCCCTCAGGACCTCGCCATCCCACTCTCCAGGGTCTCCTCCTGGCGCCCAGTCTCTCCTGAGGGTGGCTTCCATCCCAGCCCCTGGCTTGGCTCCATCCTCCTGAAGAGGCTCCAGCTGGGAGTTCCTTCTGTTTTGCCTCTCCCCAGCTCTCCGAAGCGGCAGATTTCTCTGGGGCTTTGAGCTGCTGGACGGGCCCCCCGGCGCGATAAGGGCTCCAGGCTGGGGCACGTCCTTGGGCCTGGCAGGCAGCAGCTGCCCAGCGGCTTCTCCTGCAGAGATGGCCCCCGGCTCAGCTCTGCAGTCTGGGCCAGCCTGCTGCTCCCGGCTCCCCTGTTTACCCAACACCTTTGCATCCTGCTTCATCCTTCGCTCCAGCGGTGGCGAGAACTTGCTCCTCAGCACCCTCTGGATGACATCCGGGCTGACACCGAAGCCTTGGGCCAGACGGGCCACGGGCCATTCCTCGGGGAAGGCCTGCCTTAAATACCTGCCAGGAGAGGACGCAACAGAGGCGGAGTCAAGGCCAGCCCAGAGCCTGGCAAGCACAGTGAGGCCTCAGTCCCAGCCACACCGGGCTCAGCTGGACAGGCACCCGCTCCAGGAGCCCGTCTCTGCCCCCGCCCAGCAGCCTGCACGGGGGTCAGGGGCCAGGCCCTACCCTACCCTGCCCAGGCTCCAGTGCTGGGCTGCCAGCCGCACCGCCTACCCCGCATCCCGCCCTGCTCACCGGATCTGCTCCATGGCCTGCCAGCTCAGGCTGCGCTGGGGGGGCCCCGCGGGCTCCAGCTCTCTCCGCAGCCTCCGCAGCCTCACCGCCTTCCTCTGCTGCTGCAGCACCCTGGGGGAGTGGGGGGGGGAGTGAGGGGCTGAGTGCACTCAGGGCCCCAATCCTACCCAGTCCCCCCCAATCCTGCCCCATCCCTGCCCCCAGTCCCCCCCACTCCTACCCCGTCCCTGCCCAGCCTGGCCACTCTGCCCCGCCCCCAATCCTACCCCATCCCTGCCCCCGGCCCCCCCCATCCTGCCCCGGCCCTGCCCCCGGCCCCCCCATCGTACCCCGCCCCTGCCCAGCCTGGCCACTCTGCCCCGCCCCCAATCCTACCCCGTCCCTGCCCCCGGACCCCCCCATCCTGCCCCGTCCCTGCCCCCGGCCCCCCCCATCGTACCCCGCCCCTGCCCAGCCTGGCCACTCTGCCCCGCCGCCAATCCTACCCCATCCCTGCCCCCGGCCCCCCCCATCGTACCCCGCCCCTGCGCAGCCTGGCCACTCTGCCCCGCCCCCCATCCTGCCCCGTCCCTGCCCCCGGCCCCCCCCCATCGTACCCCGCCCCTGCCCAGCCTGGCCACTCTGCCCCGCCCCCAATCCCGCCCCGTCCCTGCCCCCGCTCCCCCCCAATCCCGCCCCTGCCCCCGGCCCGTCCCTGCCCCCGCTCCCCGCCCCCGACCCCCCCCATCGTACCCCGCCCAGCCGCCTTGTCCCCCCAAGTTCTGCCCCGGGCCCCCCATCCCGCCGCGGCCCAGCCGCCCTCCCGTCACCTCTCCACCTCCTGCAGCGCCGGGTCCGCCGGCCCCGCCCGCCCCGCCGCCCCCCGGGCCAGCAGGCGGCTCGGGCCCGCAGCTCGCAGCGCGCGGGGCAGCAGCGGACCCGCCATGGCCGGCGCACAGACGCGGCCCGCGACGCCGGGGGCGGGGCGCTTCTGAGAACGAGGCCCGGGGGGCGGAGCTGAATCGGCGGGGCGGGGTCTGGGGAGCTAGGGCCGCCCCTGGGGCTGAGAGCGAGGGACCCCGGGGCGGGGGCGCGGGAGGAGATGTGGGGGCGCCGGGGGGGAAGAGGGGGGGGAGCGGGGAGAGGGGGGGGGGGGAGGTGGGGGGGGGGGGGGGGGGAAGGGGGGGGGGGAGCGGGGGGAGATGTGGGGGGCCGGGGGGGAAGAGGAGGGGGGTGGGGGAGATGGGGGGGGGGGGGAAGAGGGGGGGGGGGGGCGGGGGGGGGCGGGGGAGATGGGGGGGGGGGGGAGAGGGGGGGGGGGGGAGAGATGTGGGGGCGCCGGGGGGAAGAGGAGCGGGCGCGGGGAGAGATGTGGGGGTGCGGGGGGAAGAGGGGGGGGGGGGGAGATGGGGGCTCCGGGGGAAGAGGGGCTGGGCGCCGGGGGGGGAGGGGGCGGGGGGAGATGTGGGGGACGGGGGGGGAAGAGGAGCGGGGCGCGGGGGAGATGTGGGGGCACCGGGGGGGAAGAGGAGCGGGGCGCTGGGGGAGATGTGGGGGCACCGGGGGGGGAAGAGGAGCGGGGCGCGGGGGAGATGGGGGGTGTGGGGGCGCCGGGGGGAAGAGGGGCTGGGCGGGGGGAGATGTGGGGGCGCCGGGGGAGAGTGGGGGCTCCGGGGGGAAGAGGGGCGGGCGCCGGGGGAGATGTGGGGGCCCGGGGGGAAGAGGGGGGGCGGGGGGAGATGTGGGGGCCCGGGGGGGAAGAGGGCGGGGCGCGGGGGGAGATGTGGGGGCGGGGGGAAGAGGGGGGGGGGGGGGGAGAGTGGGGGGGGGGGAGAGGGGGGGGGGGGGGGGGGAAGGGGGGGGGGGGAGTGGGGGGCCGGGGGGAAGAGGGGGGGGGGGGGGGGGGGGGGGGGGGGAAGGGGGGGGGGGGGGGAGATGTGGGGGGGGGGAGGGAAGAGGGGGGGGGGGGGAGGGGGGGGGGGGGGAGAGGGGGGGGGGGGGGGGAGGGGGGCGGGGGGGAAGAGGGGCGGGGGGGGGAGATGTGGGGGCGCCGGGGGGAAGAGGGGTGGGGCGCCGGGGAGAGATGTGGGGGCGCCGGGGGGAAGAGGGACGGGGCGCGGGGGGAGATGTGGGGGTGCCAGGGGGAAGAGGGGTGTGGTGAGGGGGTGGGGGGGGGGGGGAGGGGGGGGGGGGGAAGAGGGGTGGGGCGCCAGGGAGAGATGTGGGGGCGCCAGGGGGGGAAGAGGGACGGGGCGCTGGGGGGAGATGTGGGGGTGCCGGGGGGGAAGAGGGGCGTGGCGCCGGGGGGAGATGTGGGGGCGCCAGGGGGGGAAGAGGGGCGGGGCGCCGGGGGAGATGTGGGGGGGCGCCGGGGGGAAGGGGGTGGAGCACTGCAGGGGAGATGGGGCAGGGCGCTGAGGGAGATGTGGGGCAGGGGAGATGGAGGGCGCTATGAGACATAGCAGGGTGTTGCGAGTGAGGGGAAACACCATGAAGGTTGTGGCCTATGGGGAAGGGGACCCAGGCGTCACTGTGGACAGCTGGACTCGGTGTGCAGGTGCAAAGAGCATAGGAGGTTTTCGGTGCCATTGTACAAACTTAACGGGGCAGCCTCATTTGGATCCTGGGCCAGCAGGGGTCCCCCCCACCCCATCAGCAGGGAGCTAGCAGAACTAGAGGGGCTCCCGAAGCATGACAGGAACAGTTAGAGGCCTGGAGAAACTCTCCTGTGAAGACAGATTCGTGCCCTAGAGAGGAGACCAATAAAAGGGGACATGATAAAAGTCTATAAAGTAGGGACTGGTCTAGAGCAGGGAGATCGAAAACATCTGTTCTCCCCATCTCATAACACAAAAAAGGGACACTTGGTGACACTGCAGGGGGGGCAGTTCAAACCCAATCAAAGGAAACACTTTTCACACAACTGCTGATCAGAATATTCCACCATCATTAAGTATTTTGACAGGGAAATTAAACCTTGTGCTTCACAGTTTAAAACAATCTTTAATGACCAGGGATTAAACTAAAACCTAGATGGGGCAGATTACCCTACATCTGCCTCCTGGGAGGTTCTTCACCTTCTCAAGCATCAGGTACTAGTCACTCTTGGAAACAGGATCCTGGACTAGGGTGCCCAGATCTCCCAATTTTATAGGGACAGTCCCGATTTTTGGGTCTTTTTCTTATATAGGCTCGTATTACCCCTGAGCCCCATCCCAATTTTTTGCCCTTGCTGTCTGGTCACCCTATCCTGGACAAGTTGGATTGTGGGTCTGAGCCAGTCTGGTATTTGTCAGTCCCTGTGAACTCATCGAGTGGCTGTTGCTATGTACTCACTCAGCCTCTCGGCAGCGCAGTGAGGGAATGAAAGGGGTTAGTAGAACAAGCAAGCAACTGCTTTGTTTTGACCCTCATGCACTGCTTTGTTGCTGGCACCCAGTGCCAAGAGGCTGAACAACAGCTTCCTGCAGCTAGGCACCACAGAGAGCCCTGAACAACATATAGGCCAGCAGGTTCCTTTCCTAAGGTATGTGGGGGGGAAGGGCAGCCCAGCCAGTGGGGACTAGGCCCATGAGGGAAGAATCAGAGAGTACCTCCCAGAGCCAGGCCTTGCCACGGAAAACCATTCCCCATCTGCTGCAATGCTGCAGGGGTCACGGGCAAAAGGACAGACTGACGGAGAATTGTAAAACAGTATAAAACTTTAATAAGACAGATACAAAAGAACAAACTCTTGCAGCCCTGAAGGAAATAAGCCCTGCCCTGAGTCACTAACGCTGCCCTGCTATTAGAGTGCTGATCAGTAGGTGTGGGGGAGAGGTTGCAGTTACAGGCTGGGATCCCAGCTACAGGACAAAGTCGGCTGCAGAGGATGGTGCCGAATACTATTAACAAAATCCCTTGCACAGCATTGTTTGAAAACAGCTCTGTCCAGTGGAGACGTGACTCTAGAGTGCTCACTAAATGGTGTCTGAAGTGCTCAGCCCTCACTGAGGGGCTCCTCATCTGCAGCAGACACCTGCGTTTTCATCACTAGCTGCCAGGTCATCGCAGCAGGCCTGGGGTCACTGTTTCCCTTGTCTCCCCCTCATCTGTCTGTCCCCTTGGAGGTTTTTCTCCCTTCCACGCAGAAGAAACCATGTCTTTTGGCACAGCCATCACCTTTGGCTGCAGGATTCCCAAGGCCATTGGTCCCTTTTTTCCCCAGAGACTGTTTGGCCAAGGTTCAGGTCCATTTCCTGTGGGGGAAGCAAGCAATCACTGATGAGAGAAGGTCTGGGTTTGCTTCGGGGACACAAACAGATCAGATTGGAGGAGCCAGAGAGCTGGGGAGCAAAGAATCAATATGCTTCTCCCCCTCAACAGCTCAGGTGAGCCACGCTGGGGAGAGAGGAAACTACAGAGCAAAACCAGCTGCCAGCAGCTAAGCCTATGGCCCTCTACAAGCTTATTGGTACAGCCCAGTGGGCCTTGCAGGGAGAGGGGATGCTGGGATCCTGTTCAGACCTGAGTGCAGACATTGTGCTGGAGAACGCTCCCGGGGGGCTTGTAGTGGCCGCAAAGGGTAGGGTGCACACCAATTACCCAAACCGGGGGCACTCTCACTAAATGCATTTGCTCAGCCCTAGTTCTGAACACTCGCCAGACCCTTTGGCAAATGCTTCCTCCATCCAGCTTCATGGGAAAGCCCAAGAGATGGAAACATTCTTTCAAATGGGAAATAAGGGTTAAACTGAGACATTCTGGGTGAGGACAGAATTCCATCCCAGCTCCTGAGGGCAGGGCCCATGGGCAACGGTGAGCGGCAATTCGCCTCTTGTTTCGTATCGATTTAGCCGTAGCTGGTATCCTCACTCCCACAGGTTGCATGGTGACCCCAGGTTAGCTTTCTTTGTACAGTCAGATATGAACAAGCAAAACTGGGTTTAGACATGTGGCTTGACCTCCCACTCATCAAGCCAATCAAATCCCATGGACAGTCCCTTCCAATGCAAACTGCCCACAGCAGCTGTAGGAAGCAGCATTACGGGAGCACGGATTACCATTATTCACCAGTACCTAGAGGCCAGCTAGGCTAGCCCGTTGTGGTGCTGGCCACCGCACAAACATAGCCCCTGCCCTAAAGAGTTTACAATCTAATAAGGCCGAGTTATAGCCCGTTTGGGAAGAGCTCGGTAAAAGAGTCTGTGGACTTGCTCCAGCATGGCAGCGGGACCCGCACTGCAAAGAGGGATGTTCCAAGGTGCCAGAGGGGTAAGGAGCTTTTCTCTGCTGAATCAGGAATGGGACTATGGGGACAAGCTCTCTGCAGATTTACAGCATGGCTCATTATAGATAATGCAACCCAGGGAGAACGAAGCAAGGGCCTGAGAGGTGGCACCAGTGGGTGAAAATACCAGCTGATCGTTTCATTCCTGATGGTCTCCAGCCATTTTACAGTGTTCAAACAGGGCTGGCCTAAGTTGCCATGGCTCTGAAATGCAGCTATCCCTGCAGTGGGACATATCTGCTGTTAACAGAGCACACTACTCCACAGGAGGAGTTTGTTAGGAGGGGTGGGGAGGCGAAGAATAATGTACTCGAGCTGGCATCTGGCCAGGATAACAGGGCAAACCTCCTCCTGTGGGGACACTAGCTCTGCAGGCAGCACAAGCGGTGAGGAGCTCGCTGGAAGCCAGCTGCAGGCAGGGCCGTTACCTGTGGTGGTTGAAGTTGAGCATGGGCATGGCACTGGTGCGGTGTGAGGTATCTGAGCGCTGGACGATGGGAGCAGAGGCAGAGTTGATGGCTAGCTCATGGACTGCAGCACGGCTTAGGGGGTGTGTCACTGAGGGGAACGTGCAGTCACTATACGTGTGATTTGGAGCCTTTCCAGCATGAGCCAGGTACCTCAGAGAGTCAGAGTAACCACTGTCCACATGGAGGGGCCGCCTGGGGGCATGGGCATCTGAAATGAGAGCACAGGAGGGATACAAAGCAGGGCTGGAGCATCCCAGGAGGGACACCAAAGATGCCTCTTGATGTTTGCCTCAAGCATGCCAGGCTACATGGCCACAGACCTATGTTAAGGCACTGGCTGGAAGCTGGGGCAGTTCTCCAAAGACTGAGGGGATAAATACCCTGCCCCTCAACTCCTCTCTTCTGTCAGAAGCCCTGACTGCAGCAGGGAGCAGGAAGGGCAGTGTGGCTCCGGGAAGGGGACAGTGGGAGAACTAGAGTTACTGTTGAGTTTTTCCCCCGGCAGTGACAGTGTCTGTGCGACCCCCTCCTACAGCGGAGGACCCACAGTAGTGGCAGTCCTTCAGGAGTCTGGTTGGGAATACACAGGGTTATTGACTGATATCCTGGAGCCATGTCACTCACAGGGACCCCTAAGACACTCTTGGGCCATAACCGTCTGAAGGGGCATTATGGCACCCCCAGTCCACTCCCATTTCTAAAACAACTGCTCTCCTCAGACACTATCACGGCGGCTGCCTGCTGCTGCCCCCCTTTCCAAACACAGATGAACTTACACCCTGCTCACTTTGCAGCACCTGGTCCCATGTGCAGGTGCAGGGGAGGAGAACACATCTCCTCAGGGACAAAGATCTCCACTGGCTTCCAGCCCTTAGAGTCCAGCACACACTCACCCTCTATGGGTCTCTGAGGGTCTTCACTGATTCTGAGTTTAATTTCCCTGCTTACTCCCTGAACATGAAACTAGACACTAATGGCACCCAGACCTTTCAAACATCCATGGCCCCTTTGAGAGTCTCAGTGCTGGAAATTAGGAGACAAATCAAGTAAGATGGAACACTTCTACCATGTCACCAGCTGTGCCAGAGGAGAATGCCCTGGGAATCCAGTCAGACGAGAGAAAGTCTCCCGCTAACCAAACCATATCAATGGGGAGAACAGGAGAGCCATAGATGCCTGGAAGGCAACTCAGAGTTGGGTTATGTCTCCCAAAAGAGAGGATGCTTTAGAACTGACACCAGCAGTATGCCAGACCCCAATTCTGTACTCACGGCCTTCAACCTTGTTTCTGGCGCTGGAGAATCTCCGGCCTCCTTCCTTCAGCATCTTTGCCAGAGCACAGGGCTCGGTGACTATCGGTGTCCCCAGAGTGTGGCTTCCTAACCAGCTCATGTTCTTCTGCGGCTGCAGGCCATGCTGTGGCTTATACTGTGCACGGTAGGGGATGCTCTGGCCCATCCCTGACAGGGTACCCAGGAGGGTGGGAATGAAGCCCTGGTTGCCCAGCATCTGGGCTCTGGCCGCAGGCTGCTGCAAGATCTGCTGTCCTAACTCCCGGACTGTGCCTCCCAGGAGCGAGAGGGGGACAAGGGTCATTAACCCCTGTGTCTCCTGGTTCCCAAACACATCCTGAAGGAACTGCGGCTGGAAGAAAAGAAGAGCAGCGACGTGTGTTTTAATTCCTGGGTGGGCATGGTTAGGGAGTGGAGAAGGGCTGTCCTCCTTATAGGCTTTAAGGTCAGAACAGAAGGGACCATGCTGATCGTCTTGTCTGCCGCCTGCACATCACAGGCCACAGAACCTCGCCCACCCACTCCTGTAACAGACCCCTGGCCTCTGGCTGAGTCACTGAACTCTTCAGATCATGAGTTAAAGTTACGGAGAATCCACCATTTCCACTAGTTTAACCCTGCAAGTGACTCATGCCCCATCCTGCAGAGGAAGGTGAAAAGCCTCCAAGGACTCTGCCAGTCTGACCTGGGGGGAAATTTCTTCCCAACCCCCCTATTTAACCTGTTACTGTTACACCCCTGAGAATCCTCCCTGCATTTTCACCCCATTTACACCCCACACTTACAGTCAGAGATTCTGAGGCCAGAAGAGACCATTGTGATTCTCTAGTCTGACCTCCAGTACAACATAGGCCAGAGAACTGCTGCTTGCAGCCCATCACTTCTGGCTCAGTGAGAGTTGCTCTGTTACACAGACACACCCACCCTGGATTTCAAGATACCAAAAGATGGGCTTGATACTGTGACACACCCACCCAAAGTGGGCCAGTAGCTTTGCAGGCAGCTTGCAGCCACCTGAGTGACCTGCTTTATGCTGAGAACAGGGCCCTACTAATTATCCTTAGCACACTGCATGTTTCTAAAGCACTCAAGCTACGTGACACACACTGTGTGTGCCGTTAGTGTACGTGCTACAGACTGCTGTCACATTCCCTGGAACGGGCCAGCCCCACACAGAATGCCAGGAGATCAGGGATGGGCATTTGTCAGGGTGCAATTTTTAGATAAGTCTTTGTCGCTCCTTTCAGCCCCACTTGGTCAAAGGGCTCCCTTTACATAGGTCTCCCAGATGTTAGACAGCTACTCCAGAGTTCACTTTCTTCAGCTAGTAAAATTGTCACTGAAATGGAAAAATAGCCACTGTGTCTAAAGGTGATCTGATCTCTAGGGGGTTTCTCATGGCCCAGCACTGGAGGGCCACATTCTCTTGCTGCTTGCTGCTCATTGGTATATGAATATTTGCACTAGGACAGAGAGTGCAGCAGAAAATCATACTCATGGCCATGTGTTTTCCCTAACAAAGTGGAACACCTGCAGTGAATGGAGGAGGGCTTGATGTTTGACAGAGAATCTGCTTTCCCCAGACTTGCTTTTTTCCCTACAGATTAAAGTAATTTTTTTCACTGCAGAAGGAAGGGGCATTGAAGGCATTTCCGGTGCCTACAGGAGCTCATTTGGGCAGTAATACTAGCCACCCTGAGGACTGGGAATGGAACCCTCTCACCACATCCTGCACTTGATCACTGGAAATATACCGAAGTGCAATTAAAGTCTGATGAGTGGTTATATGGGCTAGTGTACACGACACAAGCTCTGCCCATGAAACCATGCCTGCAGAGCATATGCCAACAGGAGTAATTTGTAGGTCCCTATAGAAAGGCCACCTGCCCAAATGATGCTAGCTAAGCCAGCAGAAGAGCTCGTCTGTGGGCACAGCTGTGTCTACACTGGGGTTCTGCAGGCAGAGCCTGTGGGCGGTGTGTGTTTTCACACCCCTCATCAACACAGCTCTGCCAACACAACTTGGTAGTGTACAGCTGGCCAAGAACAACAGCCCCGTCTTCTCCAGCAGAGCAGCTCCTCTTCTTCACAAGGCTTCCACTCCTGTTATCTAACTCTAGTGAAGACAAGGCCACTGAGAGCAGATGTCCCAGAGTGCACAGCTCAACCTTGAGCCAGGACACCAGGCTGTGATGCGCACTGGGACTTGTGGGCTCCATAGGGAGCACTTCACAGAGGCCCCCGTGACCTGTTCCATGGGGTGCTGAAAGATGGGGCCCCTCAGATCAAGTGCCTGCAGGACCTTCCTCTTGGGAGGCCCCTGAAGAATCCCTTTTCGACCCTTTTGAACACAGGAAAAATTAACATAAAACCAGGCCAATCCAAGGACCCAGACCCAGCACCCATTCTCATTTAACCCAGCCAGAGGAACTTCTCCAAGTCAGCAATGCCCAGTGTACAGTGGAGTCGCATCATATGCGCATTTAACTTACGCAAATTAAACTATACACATTCGGCAAAAAAAAAAGAAAAATAACAGTAACTCGCAGCGGTGGAGTACTGTACAGGAGTCGACGGGAGAGCGCTTGGGGGTCGATTCATTGCATCTAGACTAGACGCGATAAATCAACCCCTGCTGGATCGACCGCTGCCCACTGAGTGTGAGCATCTCGCCGCACTGAGTGTGATTCTAGTGTTTAAAGATATGTATTTTTTGTACAACATGGCCCCTAAATGCAAGCCAACTACTTAATCTGGTGCACAACCGAAGAAACAGCGATCTGTTCCAATGCTGGAGGAAAAACTGGCTGTGTTGGACTTATTGAGAGATGGCATGTCGGTCTCTAACGTGGCGTGTAAATATGGCCGCAAAGAATCTAGCATCCATGCCATCAAGATTAGAGAGAGAAATTCATCAAGCCGTGGCATCAAGTGCTCCAATAACTGCTAAGGTGATGAGCCAGGTGTGTGATAAGACTTTAGTGAAGACTGAAAAGGCATTAAACTTATGGCTGGAAGACATGAACCGTAAACTCGTGCTCTTAGCCTCTACGCGCTGTTCAAACCTCCCGCCGAAGAGGGACAGCCTTCTGATGAGAAGGAATTCAAAGCCAGCCAAGGCTGGCTTAACAGTTTTAGGAACCGCTTCAACCTCAAAAACGTGCAGACTACTGGTGAAGCTGCATCTGCCAATGAAGAGGCGGCAAAAGCCTCCCCCGAACAACTAAAGAATATCACAGAAGAAAAGGGCTGTCTTCCAGAACACGTTTTTAATGCTGACGAGACTGGGCTCTTCTGGGAAAAAACGCCCAACCGCACTTACACTTCGAAATCAGAAAGACAAGCCCCTGGCTTCAAAGCAGCTAAAGACCGTGTGACTGTGTTGTTTTGTGGCAATGCGGCTGGGTATTTAATAAAGCCGGGCTTGCTCTACAGGGCTGCATATCCCTGTGCCCTAAAAGGCAAGAACAAAAATCTCCTGCCTGTGTTCTGGCAATCAAATAAAAAGGCTTGGGTGAGGGCAGCATTCTTTCTGGATTGGTTCCAGAGTGTTTCATTCTGGAGGTCAAGCGGTACCTCGAAGAGAAAGGACTTGACTTTAAAGCGTTGCTGATGGCAGACAATGCCCCTGGCCATCCTGAGGCACTCCAGTTTGCGCATAACGACGCTGAAGTCATCTTTCTCCCTTTTCTATTCTTTCATTCTTCTATCTCTCTCTCTTTTTGATTATATGCAATTTTCGCCTTACGCACTGACTTTAGAACCTAACCCCTGCATAAGATGCGACTCCCCTGTACTCAGCTCCTCCTGCTCCTGTCTGTGCAGGGCCACCAAGAATACTACCTACTGCACTAGCCTTGGGAGGTGCCTGTGAGCAGCCCACCTTTACCTGGCTCTCGGAGATATTGATGTGGGGCCTGTGGACATTCACAGGCCTGGGCTCAGCTGTGTGGAGCAGCCGAGAGAGCTGATCCACGATGCCCAGACCCCGGATGAGGTTTTCGCGCTGCAGAAGAGCCTTGATCCTCTCTACTTCCTCATCTTCCACTATGTCCTGGGGCCGCATGGAGTCAAACACCATCTGCTGCATCTTAGGACAGAAATACACCTTGAGTTACAGCATGGGCTGGGGGGCTGGGTGACAGACTAACAGAGGAAGGAGAGTGACTGAGGCCACAAACTCTGCTGGGGTCAGGAACAGGGCCTGGGCCACAAGTTCCAGTGTGGAGCAGGAAGGAGACTCCAGTCGGGAGTAAAAGGGGTAGGGGGCCATAGACTCCCATGGGCTGGCTGTTCACAGCACTCCCCAGCACAGGTCAGCAGCAGTACAAACTCCACAAAGACGAGCTCAGTCCTTGGCTGGTGTGGGAGATGTCAGTGCCCCAAGCTCTCCTCCTGGTGCCAGGTGGCTCCATTTGACATGCCCCATGGAGCTGCATGCTGGATGAGAACAGGGGTACCTTCCTGTTGCAGGTCCTGGTGCTGCTGTAGGTGAGGCGGGTGGGAGGAACCTTGGCCTTTCTGCGGATGCGGGATTTCTCCCCAGCTGACTCTCCCTGCAGGTTCTCCTTGCGCTCCTTTTTCTTCTTCCCAGTAGTAGCCTCTCGTTGCTCTTGCTTCAAGCGAATTTCCTCCAGCTGCTGCCTGGCAAGAACCAACAGTCTTGGTCATTGCCGCTCAGTGTGAGATCTTGTGCCAAGCTGTGCTGACCCCAATGGAGGTGACATACGGCACAGCCAAGGACTGCTCTCCGGAGCAGCGTCCAGGATGGTGAATGTGCTGGGAAATGGCCCCAGGCCATTAAAAGCTGTTACCACCCCCATAAGGAAATGCCCTTTGCACCAGGTTGTGCCACCTAGATGGGGTGGAGACGGGTCTACTCAAATGCACCAGGACACATGCTATAAACCACCTTCAGAATCCATAAACAATGGACTCTGGCATGTCTCCCACTCAGGTCCAAAGGCAGGGCGGAGAGGTTACGTGGAGGACACAGTGCCTTCCCCTGGCAATGGAGCCAGGGCTCCGCTGCTAGGTGCTCACCCCTCCACATGCTTTAGGCAGCAGTAGCTGTTCCCAACAGAGAGACAAGCGGTGAACACTCTCTGCCTCATGGCATTCAATGAGGAGGGCTTTTCCACAGGAGCAATGTACCTGGCACACTCCTCTCTTGCCTTGGAAGCCACTGTTTCCTGGAAGAGGGAGCTGCTGTGCTTGAAGAATGGCTCATACTTGTCTGTCTCGAGCACAGGGTAAATGCGCCGGTACCCTCCCAGGTGCGTGTTCTCATACTTCTCCGTTTGGGCCAGCCAGGCCGCCTGGCTGTTTTCTAACTGCTCACGTCTGCCATCAGAAAGCAAAGATGAAGGCAGGAGGAGCCATGGCAGACACATCCCTAGAGATTGTTGTACAGGCAGCAGGGTGGGACAGGTTCCAGATGCTGCCCTGTCCAGGAGTCTAGCTGGCATTTCTCCCCTTCCCCATCTGGGAACGCCGGTGTGCATTCACTGCACCAAGCCAATGCACCCTCCCATTTGGTATCTCCTCCAGCTGGGCAGTACAGGCAAAGCAGGGAGGCTCAGAGCTCCTCTCTCCAACTGAAGGGCTCCCATGGTTCCCACCCTTCTCAGCCAACAGTACCAGTTTACAAGAGCTCAGCTGTCTCATCCGGGCCTGCCACATTTCATCCAGCTGTGAGCACTCCAGGCTGCCTGGGAGAGGGGGCAGCCCAGCCCCACACAGTGGGGCTGGAACAGTTTTTATAGTGGGGGTGCTGAGAGCCTCTGAACCTAACTGTAACCCCTGGATATGATGGAAACCACTTCAAGCCAGGGGGTGCGGCAGCCCCCCAGCACCCCGAGTTCTAGCACCTATGGACCCAGGGGCAGCAGAGCACAGGGGTTAATATGCCCCTCGTGTCCAGGCTTTAGTTACCTGATGTAATTAATTGAAATTGGTGTCTGGGAGGGAGCTCCTGCCCACCCTGCCTCAATAGGCGGCCAATCCAAACTGGCCTCAACAGTTGTGTATTGGCTTTAGCCATGAATTGACATGTCTGCACGAATGGGCAGGGAAGCAACACTGCTTTGTGAAGAAGTAGGGTTGTCAACCTTCCAGGATTGGCCAGGAGTCTCCCGGAATCGGCATCCATCTCCTGGTGACTATTGAAAGCAATCCGGGAGATTTTAATAGGATATTTTAAGATAATGACATTATGTCATATTGGGTGGGGGGAGGGGGGGAAATCTCCCGGAATAGCTTCAGTCAGAGTTGGCAACCCTATAGAGAATCTGGAGCCTCAAAACTTTTGTGGGAAAAAGGCCACGTGTCACCGGGTACAGCGCCCCCGGATGGCCAGGGAGGGCCCTGTGACCAAACCGCACAGTTGAGTGGGAGAAGTAGTAAGCAGCCTGGAGTGGGGCTGAGTCTAGAGTACCAGGAATCAGACATGTCTCGGGGCTGGGAGCCTCAAACCCGGGTCTCCTCCGGGATGCTGAAAGCCTGAGCCCTCTCCCCTTACAGGTGACAATGTTCTCAACAGTGCCACAGCCCCAGAGGGATTTCAACGGCCACAAAGCAGCCTTTGGCCTCTCATGCTCGTTACTCTGTTCCCTGCTGTGCCCCCTGCTCTCCCCAAAGGCCTGCCGCACTCCTCCTTGGAGTGAGTAGTACCTGGCTTCACGAGGTGGCTGGTGGGCCTGGAAGAGTCGCTCCTTCACCCGTCGCTTGTCCTCTTCGAGCACCTTCCTCTTGTCACAGGCTCGCAGGTTTATCAGGTTGATGGTGTCACAGAGCAAAGCGTCCTTCACCTCTCGATCCAAGTGCGAGTCCGTGGTGAAACTGGGAGAGTGATTCACCTGCCAAGACAAATGGCTAGTCTAACACACACACGTGCAGCTCCACAAATCTGCTGCAGGCAGCAGGATTGCTGGCCTCAGACCCTTCACCACCTCCTGTTCCTTCATTCCTCTCTGGCAGCCTCTTGTCCCACAGCTGCAATCTTTCCTATCATGGTAATACCAGTAAGCATGGTGCTGCTGTGTGGGGCTGATGTTTGCTGTTGCTGCTTTCACGGCACAAAGTGCCATCTAATGATCAGCCAGGCTGCAGGTATAACTTCCTGGCTTCTCACTGACCACCAAGGACACTGAGGAGAGCACACACAGGTCATCCCAGGTTCTGAATGGTGCTCCAGAGATCCATGCAGCTCAGTGACTCAGGGGAGTCCGTTATTATGCCAGGAACTTGCGGAAGATGTTTCCTTGTGGACTGTAGATTGCTTGGCTATTTGCCTCCAGAGATCCTCATTTAATGGAGTGCTGCAGAGATTGCAGGTGGCAGTGTCAATCAAACTAAAACTATCTGAAACATGCCCCAGGCTTTAGTTCTAATTCTCTCATTGGGCGACAAAAGCCCTCAACCATTTGCTGTGCAGAGGGGGAGATTTCCAGGCCACCGGAGAGGTTTTCACTCACCTCCAGCAGCCAGGGTTTCAGCTTTCTGTCTAGCAGGATGTCAAAGCCCAGAATCTCAAAGCAGGCACAACCGGTGATGTGGTTGGGGAAGCAGGTGCGGTAGTTGTGCTTCAGAACAGGGTGGGCTGAGATAAGGGTCTTTATAATGATGTCCTCAATGTCTTCCCAGAGTTCTGTCGTGTCGTAGCTGTTGTCCATCATCCAGGCATTCAAGGTAGACAGTTTCCTGTTTGGGGAACAAGGAGGTGATAAGAGCTGCCCAAGTCAAAGTGGGTCTGCAGCAGTAGCAAACAATGTCACCACACTGGCTCCATGGCTCAGAACAGTGTGAGGAACTCAGGGGACTGAGCCCCAGTGCCGCTTCTTACAAAGCCAGCAAAGTCCCAGAGGTGCCCCACATATAGGAGCTAAACTGAGGGGACAGTTCTGTGCTCAGAATTAACAAGCAAAGAGACAATTGGACCAGGAGCCCAAGACCCTAAAGCGGGTGATCTCCACCTAAGTGACCTTAAAAGAGAACATGGGGTGAGCCCGCACAGCATGCTGCCCCATCAATTGGCCTCCCAGCAGGAAGTGAACAGGGCCTGTGGTGGCATAGGCAGGATGGTACCTCTTACTGCCCATCATGTCGTCTCGGATGAAGTTTTCATTATGTTTGTTGATAGCATAGTTGGTCAGGTGCATGCAGATATCGTCCTGAGAGAGGGACAGCAAGAGACCTTCACACTCAATCTCTGAGTGCCAGTGAGAGACAAGAGGCTCCAGATGCTCAGCAATGCTTAGCCTTCTGTCCGGCAACTGCTGCTCACCTCTGCCCCAGCACCAGCACCTCACCTCTGTCCCAGCATCACTACCTCCTCCCCTCCCCAAGGCTATTCCTTCACCCCAGGCCTAAATTCTTCACCCTTCCACTCTAAGATGCCTGATTTCAGGTCAGCAGCAAAACCCCACAAACCTATGAACACATGGCCAGAGCCTGCTGTGGCTGAAATCTGCCTGGTGCAGCAGCAGCCAGCTGGTCCTGGACACATCTCTCAGATTGTTTACCCCAGCACAAATTAGACCTGCGTGGGGATTGGTGTCATCCAAGCCACTGGCAATGGCTTCTGAGGAACCATCTGCCACCTGGAGATAGCGAGAGCCATGCCCTCTGCCCACCCCATATGCCAGTGCTGAGGAGTGGGAGATAGGAGTGGGCTACACTAGATTTGTGCCCACTGGGGTATGCCCCATGCTGCCCCCCAGCAGAGGAGGTGCAAGCAATTTCTGCAAGAGGAGCAGAGAAGAGAATCTGCCCCTTTTCTTTATTGATCCCAAAGCAGAACACCTCCTGAGACACTCAGCTACTAGGGGAGGGACTGTGTCCGTAGGTAGGTATGTGCAGAGCCCTGCAAATCTGCAGATATCCATGGCTATCCACATGCATAGATGCGGACATCCAACCACGTTTGTGGATCGTGGCTCGGATGCGCATATAAATTTTGTATAGCGCAGGGCTCTAGGTATGTGGCACAGATGAGCTAGAGTACTTCCCAGCTGAGGCAATAGCTCGGGATGAGTGCTTGCTAGAGGTGTTTGGATGGACTCCACCTCTGCGTACTGCTGTGTAAGGCACAGAGCCCAATGAGGAGACCTTCTCCCCTTCCCTTTCCTTCTCCATCTCCCCATTCTCCATCGCTCCTCCTGCCATCTCTGGATGCTGCCAGGGGGGTAATCACTCTGCTCCCTGTTCTGCCCCTGAAGCGTGGGCAAAGCAGGGAGCAGAGCAGACCCAAGGGAACGGGGGCTGTGCATCAGAGATGTGGCAGCAGGTGGATAAGGCCAGGAAACAGCCCACTTGGGGGATCCTGGAGCTCCTGAAATAACCATCCTGACATGGAGTAAAAGGAATGGGGGAGGAGCAAAACCGAGCAGGAGGCAGAGGAGGGAGAAGAAGAGAAAGAGGCCCTGACTTCCCAGTGGTCTGCTGCCCTTAGGGCAAGTGTGTGTTAATCCTATTGACACTATGTCAGTTGCTTGGAAACGTCCCTTCTTTACCAGGTTGCTGCTGCTGGGCTCGATGTACCTCATGGTGGCAAACCGGGCCAGCCCTTCCTCATAGACAAAAATCTTCAGGGGGTCACAGGATGTGACCAGGACATAGATACGCAGGTCAAATTTGAAGCCATCAATAAGGAAGGGCTGTGAGAGAAAAAGGGGGGAGTGCCCGTGAGACACAAAAGCCTTGCTAGCTGCATTGTGGCTGCATGGCTCAGGGTCTGCACTCTCCACAGCTCAGCTGGGAAGGAGAAATGCTGAGCAGCCTGGCGATGGCCCTGCTGGGAGGTGGCAACCTCAACGCTGCTGGCTGAGCTTTCACAGTGGAAGGCTGGCAGCAGTGGGGCACGGGACACTGGAAGGACATGGGAGGCCAGAAGCTCACACCTTTTTTCCAGGACACTGGCAGCCCCGTTACCTTGGATATGTACTGCTGGCAGATCAGGTGCTCCCCATGTTTAATCTCCTTTGGGTTGCGGGTTATGAAGATGCCCCTCCCTTGGCAGCCACTGTCTGGCTTGCAGATGTACGTCTTGTTTTTCCTCATGCGCCCGTAGGTCTGGAAATCCCCATAGCTATGTAATGAAGAAGTAGTGACTGTTAGAGCTGCAGGACTCTCCGGTGGCTGATTGGAGCACAGCATGCTGGGCCATGCAGGGCTCAGCACTGCCAGGGCAGCGAGAAGAGCAGTCCTACACTGTACTAGGCCACTCCTAGGTACATTATTTATCACTGTCTCATCACAGCCTTGGGGAGAAAGCCCTTATGGCTCTAAGCCCTGCTAGGTTAATATCTCCGTCTCCACCACAGAGAAAGGGTAACGAAACGTCAGCTGCTGCCTAGTCAGGACCCAGCAAGGTTTTAGCTCTGCTACTGTGGAAGGAGCAGGGGGAAACTAACCAACCCTTGGCCACAAGGAGAATGAAACAATAAAATACAATGGCGACATTCCTGTGGGCTCTCCTGAAAATGCATTTGCCAAACCGGACAGAGATGGATGTGAGAGGAGGCCGGAGGCCCAGGCCAGGATACTCTGACCTGGGGCATAGAGTCAGCCTCCTACATTCAGATTTAGGCATCTAAATATATGGCCTAATCTCCAACAGTGCTGCACACTGATTGGTTCCAACGCCAGCTGCTGGGCACCTCAATTTTGAAAGTCAGGCCACTCATTTAGATGCCTAAATAGGAAGCTAGGCCCGTGCTTCAGGCCCCAGTTTGAACACCCTGTCCACAGGTTATTGATCCCTCTCCCTGTGAACTGACACCTCACCACATGCTGCTGTGATCCCTTCCAGGCTTCGTCTGGCTAGTGTGCTGAATGTCCCCCTCACCACCAGCAAAGGGCAAGGCCAGGGGTGCTTGTGTGCTGGGAGGCGGGCACCGCTGCAGACACATGGACAGTCCATCCCTCCTAGGCCAGCAATGAGCCTCCCACTCCGCCGGGGAGCGGCCAGGTCCTGCACACCACCCTGAAGGATCCCTCCAGCTGACCAAGGAGGGGTGCTCATGGACTGTTAGGGGAAATCCCACAGAATCACAGAAGTCAGAAGCAAAAATGACCTTTTAGGCTCATTCCCCTGCCCACTGAGGGCCAGGGCAGGATTCCCTTGCAGTCTATTTCCTGGGGTTTAGTCCAATTCAGATTTAAATCCCTCTAGGGATGGGGCTCCCACCCCTTCCCTGCGGGGAACAATTCCACAACCTATACAATGCGATTACATTCTGAGATCTGGGACTCTCTAAATACAGAGCCACATCTTCTTACTTCCCAAGGAAGGCTACTGAGACCCAGAATCAGCAGTGGATCCTCCAGAAAGCACCTGCCCCATGGAAGCTGAGTTCAGTGGTCCCCACTACCCTTCCCTGCAGACAGCATCCGCCTGTCCAGCTGCTGGCTAGCAGTGCTGGTCACTCACTCAGCAGGCAGGCACCAGGTGCGGGGGAAGATACTGTACTCCTTGGGGAAGAGTTTGAGCATGCGGTTGAGGTTGCGGGCCAGCAGGTCCTTCCGGCAAATCTCCGTCATCCCCGGGAAATGGTTGATTTTCTGAAACAATGTGCAGCAGAAAGGACAAGTCAGCAAAAGGAGCAGAAGTGATAACACTTGAGAGCCAATGTGAGTCAGTTCAGGGAAGAACAGGACAGGAAGACAGCTACCCTGCCAGGTGTGCTTACTCTGAGCCCCATCAGCATGAGTTGTGTTCACTCTTCTCTCAAACCTGTGGTTTCCCCTCTCCAAGAACAGCATGATTCACAGAGAGGAGCAGCTGATCAACAAGAACCATGTGCTGAACAAGGACTCAGCAGCAGAGAGGGTGGCAGCTCTCTAGCTGTCCTTCAACCTGTGGCTGATGGCACCACCTCAGGGGTACTAACGGGGCAAAGGCTCGGGGTGCTGCTGGGATCCTGCTCTCCCCGGTACAGACACGGACAGGCTGTGGAGACTGTCCCATAGGGAACAGAAGGGTAGCACTGTTGCTGACCTTGGATACTCTACTTCGCTGCACCATACGATGTCCCACCAACTCCTCCCTGCCTCGTCCTCCCTGCCTGAGCTCCTCACACTCGCAGGCTGTCCATGAAGGGTCTTTACCTGAAACCTCTTCATTTCCATGACGCGCTCCAGAGAGACCGAGCAGTCAGTCCAGTACACCGTCCACTCCTCATCCTCCCCCACTTCTTTTAAGCCACAGTGTCGGGCAGCACGCCGCACTACAGCAAAACAAGCACATGGCAAGAGGCATCTCCAGGCGGGGCATGAGAGATGGGCCCCAAGAGTTCACACATCTCTCAGCTGAAGTAGATGGGATCAGGCTGGCAATGAAAGGAACACCCCAGGACTTCCACCCACACCTCCAAAGGGGAGAAAGACCTGGTGGGACCCTGGGGAATGTAGCAGGAACATACCCCTCCCTTAGCTGAACTGTCCACTGGATCTCACTCCTTGACTAATGACATATGTCAGCCTTGGAAATGCATTTGTCTGGTGATCCCAGGAAGGAGACAGAGGCCTGACACCAGATCTTTGGAGGTGCCCAGTACGCCTCAGCTTCTTAGAAGGAGCCCATCATCATAGTATCTGGCACCTCTTTGAGAGGAGGCGTCCAGTGTCCACTATTCCATCTAGAAACTCTGTGTTCTCTCCACAGCAGATGAGACTGTAACTTTCAGTACAGCAATTGTGCTCCATAATATGGAACTTGTGTATAATTGGCATTAACCAATACCTGGACAGAGATGCTGTCATATGTATTCTAACGCCACTCCCTCCCACAGAGAGGAGTAAGGTGAGAATCCTAAACCACCTGCCCAAAGTTCATTCCTGGAGGCACAGGCTTGAGGGGAGGGGTGTCCTGCACGGATCCAGCCCAGGCCAGTAATATATGCAAATCACTGCCATCCCAGGCTGCTCAGTGCCCTGCTGTAAGTGAAACGAGTGCAGTTTTCAGTGCGCGAGTGTCAACCCTGCAGACATCTGCCTCACAACTGGCACTATCTGAGCCCCTGTTGGCAATCTCGTTAGAGAATGTGCTATGGAGACTGAACTCCCCTGGCATTCCTAGAGGGGTAGGGCTCTCCAGACCAGGAGTGAGACACACTGGCCGGGGCCAGTGTGGGTGGGAAGCTCCCAGTGCTGCGACCAGAGCTGCACCCACTAAGTGAGGAGAGAGCTTCAGCCCAAAGTCTGGTCAAGTTGGCACCTTTCACCAGAGCAAAAGTCACTTCCAAAACAGCAATCAATCCATTGAAGCCATTGTGCAGCCCAAACCCAGTGCTAACAACCTTCTCCAGGTGCAGGGGCTCCACGGCACTTGCCAGTGAGATATGGTCTGAAAAGGAGCCCTGGCTTGCCTTCGACTCACCACTCTCATACTTGCAGTTGGTCAGGTTGATAGAGAGCAGCCTGGAATGGAGAGAGAGGAGAAAGCAATGGTTCAGTGCAGACATGCCCTGGTCACCAGACTGGGCAGGCCCCAGGGAGCTATTCCTAGCCAGCTTTACTGAAGGGACCCACCCTTTGTCCGCCTAGTCTGGGGGGCAGCCCCTGCGCTGCCATTAGATGGCAGCTCCCAGGCCAGCTAGGATGGCAGGACTAAAGAAACATTACACAGATTTTGTTTTGTGAATTCTAGATCCCAGAGACGTGGTGTTATCACAGCCCAAACTTCTCTACTCTGTGCATCTGGTTTTCCATACACAGCGACTTGTGCAACGATGGTGACTTAATGATGTCTATCTGTACAGAAACACTCAGCAAATCTGCTCTGGTCCCAGCAAAAGGGCAGACAGGCCTGGAGCAAGGAGTAGGTTCCCATTTGGAATTCCACATTGGGGGAATTTGAGTGACTCGAGATTCCTTGTCTGATTTTGAACAACCCCCAAAGACTCCAATAGGGTCCAGGCCCCAAAATTCAGAGCTGCCCATTATTCATTCTACTTTTGTCTGCTGTTTTTTGAAGGGTGTTTGATGGTAAATGGCTGAGACCTGGCACACATGTTCTCCCTGGCCACTACTCACCAAATGCTTATTTTTCATATGAATAAACAAGCTAACTGAACATTTCTTACAACAAGGGATATGATGTGTTTCTCCCTTTGCATTTGAGGGCAGAAGTTTTAGAATAAATTACGTAAAAATTGTTCCCTGATGCCCCAGTGGTAATGCCCAAACTTTGCCCACTTCAGGATCAGATTTTCAGAACTGCATGTGCAGAAATCCATCAGCATAATTCATGCGTACCAACTGTCAGTCAGGCAGGTAACTGGTTAGTTGTTTATAAACTTCCTGCAATTGTGCACACAGCTGTATTTGCACATACAAACTGAGGGCACAATTTTTGCAATCTGATCTTTGAGGTGCATAAAATAGAGTAGATTGCAACTGCCCTCATCTTCAGCATAGAGGTGGCAGCCAGAGCCTTGACAGGCCACCAAATGCATGCAATGGTCCATCCAGAGCTGACTGGATGCAGATCCATCACACAGACTTCCCAAAGAATGAAACTACAATTCCCATCAGCCCCAACCCACTGCACTTCCCTTTCCCCTAGGCAGGTCCTGAACTAGGATGTGACCAGGCTCTGTTTTGGGAATGGGAGCTGCACAACAGCAGGAGAGAAGCCCCAGCCTCTGTGGATAGAGACACATGTGGAACAGGCTGAGACTGCTCGACGATACAGCTGTGTGCAGGTCTGTGTGGTACTCCTGGAGGAACAGCAGCTGGGCAGGAAGCCAGGGCACTGGGGCCCCAATAAGAGCCACTAACTCAGCTTGGCTTGGAACACTACAAGCACCTATTTGCTGGAACAGAGACTGGACTCTAGGGGGCACCCCACAGGTACTAAGCTGGGGTCATGGATCAGCGTTCATGACCCACTCCCCATCAGCACCCGGCCCAAGATGGGGAAGCTAATGATCCAACCAGCGGACCAAACTGATGATGAATGCCGGTCACGGGCCACCTGAGGAATGTTGTGCATATGCTAAGAAGAAGATAGAAACGTGGGGCTGGACAGAACCTCAAACAGTCATCTAGTCCAGTCCTCTGCGCTGAGGCAGGACCAAGTAAACCTAGACCAGCCCTGACAGGTGTTTGTCCAACCTGTTCTTAAAAACCTCCAATGACGGGGATTCTACAACCTCCCTTGGAAACCTAATCTGGAGTTTATCTACCCTTATAGTTAGAAAGTTTTTCCTAATATCTAACCTAAATCTCCCTGGCTGCAGATTAAGCCCATTGCTTCTTGTCCTATCTCCAGTGAATATGGAGAACAATTGATCACCACCCTCTTTATAACAGCCCTTCACGTAATTGAAGCCTGTGATCAAGTACCCCCACACACACTTTTTTTCCTCAGGACTAAACATACATTTTTTAACCTTTCCCCATAGTCCAGTTTTTCTAAACCTTTTATCACTTTTGTTGCTCTCCTGTTGCGTCACTCCAACTTGTCCACATCTTTCCTAATGTTTGGTGCCCAGAACTGGACACAGTGCTCCAGCTGAGGCCTCACCAGTGCTGAGCAGAGAAGGTGGAACTAACATGAACTAACTGCTGCAGACAATTACTTCCTGTGTCTTACCGTCATACTGACGAGTCTTGATGCCTGACTGGACAGCCCCAGGGCCCAAACAAGAACCACTACCAGACACTTTGCACGCTAACTGCCCAAGTCTCTGTAGCTAGGGTATCTGCAAACTTTCCTGCCATCCCTAGAAAAATACCCTTTCACATTAGCCATGTCTCTGAGTAGTTATTGGGACCACCAGGGCTAGTGCCTATAAGGCCCCGATGCAGAAGCATCTACAGTGTTTGCCTCTGAGTTGTGGTATGCCTGGCACACTACTGGCAGCCTAGGGGTTTAGGGTACTGGGCAGCCACAGTAATTACACCCGAAAAGGTAACGTTCTCAGCATGTCACGTTCCATCCTGAGATACGTGGCCTTTGAATGCCCCTGAAACAGATAGTAAATAAAAATCCAATAGGCAGCTGGCCACACAGACTTTGCTGGCTCCTCTTTGGGTCTGGTAGGACAGCGAGGTCTGGTAGGCCTAGGTGACAGCCTGAGGTACACACGGAAGTAGAAGGCAGAGGAAGGCGATGAGGAAACTCACCTGTGTTTTCTCTTTTTCTTTCTTGGAGTGGTCTCTGCTTCACAGTCTTCTGTCATTTGTTCTTCCAGATCGATCAGTGAGACAGTCGGCAGATCACTTTTTCCACCTGAACTGTGTTCACTCTTGTGCCCTAGGCATGTGTCCTCTGCCTCAAAAGCTCCCTCCTGAGGAGTGCCATCCTGACGCATATCTTTTCTTCCTCCACCCAGTCTCTTAATGTGTTCATTTGCAAACTCTTCTTCCTCCTCTTCCTCTGTATCATTCTCTGATTCGCTGCTGTCACTGGAGTTCATCTTCATTCTGTTAACTGTTCTTACAAGTTGCAAATGAAGAAACTAATCAGTATGTCACCTGCAAGACAACCTGAACTACCAGCTTAAACTACCAGCACCAGTCAATATCAGAGTGTCCCAAACCCAACCAAGGCCCAGGCATAGGCAAGTTCTAACAAGTCCTTTCTCTTATACCTGTCTGCCCTTTTCTCCTGGCCTACCCCCGCAATGACCCAGGGAGTCAGTCTTGCCTCTCTCTCTGCCCTTGTTCCCCAGCAAGCCTTCCACCCACAGAAGCTGTTCCTTTTTCCTTTCCTTTCGCTCTACGCCAGGTTACAGCGGTCACATTAACTCACTAGTGCACACTGAAGATCAGATTCGACTCTTGAAGAAATGATTTCAGGAGCTCTCCCTGGGGCTATTTCTAGGGAAGATGTACCTGTGTGATGAATCTAAGAAGCAGCCCCAGGAGACCTTTCTAGCTCCACAATAGAACTCCTGTGTCTTCTAAATACCTGAGAAGCCTGACTGTGTTGTCCTACTGCGTATAGGCAGCATACAGGGAAAAGGGTGACCCTTTATACCGTGTCCCTAATTACAGTATTTTTACACACCGTTGGATTGCCACACACAAACTGACAGGCTTAGAGTCATGTCACCTAAAGTTTGACCCCCATTGCCCTCCCAGTTAACAGGTTTTGGCACAATAGCTTTCCAGTGCAAACATCTGCTCCAGTCACTGTCCATTCTTCTACATCTTCAACTGCTCCACACTTGCACCCACTCCCTTGGATGAGGGATGTGTCTACCCACACCCACTTGCTCCTTACTTTCCCTTTTTTCAGGAAGTTTCCTAAGATCCCAAGAATACATCTGAATGCTTAGCCAGATGCACTGTCGGATGGGAATGTGTTATGGTCAGTGAGCTGCTGCTTGGACAAACCACACACGCAAGTCCCAGCCCCACCCTCCATTTAGGTCCAAGGTCATTGGAATGATTTATGTGGAAATAAATGACCTTTATATAATGACCAGCAATGCCCATGAGGCCAGTCTGGCATGGTGCGATATGGGGCTCTGAGTTCAGGTTATGCTTACAGATAATGACAGGTTTCAGAGTAGCAGCCGTGTTAGTCTGTATTCGCCACTAGTACTCCTTTTCTTTTTGCTTACACATAAGCATCTTTAACGTACAAGCCATCTAAGAGTGTAGTGGTGCACACAAGCCAGCTTACTGCACTGTTCACTGGCAGAAAGTCGGAGGGGATTTAGGACAAGGCTGATCACCATATTTGGGGTTGGGAAGGAATTTTCCTCCAGGACAGATTGGCAGATGTCCTGGGGGTTTTTCGCCTTCCTCTACAGTGTGGGGCATGGGTCACTTGCTGGAGGATTCTCTGCACCTTGAAGTCTCATGATTTGAGGACTTCAATAGCTCAGACATAGGTTAGATGTTTGTACCAGGAGTGGGTGGGTGAGATTCTGTGTCCTGCGTTGTGCAGGAGGTCAGACTAGATGATCATAATGGTCCCTTCTGACCTTAAAGTCTATGATTCTATGATTCCTTATACTTAGAATGCCAGCATGTGCTGGCTGATAGGCAGCAATGTCAGTCATTGGCAAGGAAAATCGGCCATTACAATAGCCTGGGCAAGCACAGAAGAAACAATGTAACATGGGGTTATGACGCCTATGCTGTCACCTGAACATGGTGCGTAGGTACGACAGCAATGGGCACCCTGGAGATATAACAGAAAGACAGACTGGCTTCCCACTGCAGCACACGGGGGCTATGCAGTTACTTTCCACGTGATGGGCCGGCAGTCCTAATGCACCCCAGGCCCCGCCTGTCATAGGGAATGTAACTGCACAGCCCCAGTGTGCTTCCCACAAGTATCTGATGGAGCCCACAGGAGGGTGCCCCAGCCTCCCGGGAGAGGCAGACGGGTGTGCCAGGTGTACGGGTAAGGTCTAACATCAGTGGCGGGCAGCACCACAGGAGGCCAACTGCTAGGACAGCCCAGGAGTGCGGGCTCCAGCTGGGGGTGTGGGGCCGGGGAAGTAGGGCCAGGGCCTAGCATGGGATGGGGCACCTGATCCCCTCATTACGGCCCATCACCACCCCCACCCCTCCCTGAGATGATCCACCCCACCCAGAAGGGAGATCTAACTCCTGCAATGCCCTGCCCCCGCCCGTCCCCTGCTCCCCCAGGGGAGCCCTGCCCCACCCCCTGCTCCCCCAGGATGGGGTCCTCTCCCCCCCAGGGGGGCCCTGCCCTCCCAGGATGGGGTCCTCTCCCCCCCAGGGGGGCCCTGCCCTCCCAGGATGGGGTCCTCTCCACCCCCTGCTCTCCCAGGGGGGCCCTGCCCCCTGCTGCCCCAGGATGGGGTCCTCTCCCCCCCAGAGGGGCCCTGCTCCACCCCCTGCTCCCCCAGGATGGGGTCCTTTCCACCCCCTGCTCTCCCAGGGGGGCCCTGCTGCCCCAGGATGGGGTCCTCTCCACCCCCAGGGGCCCTGCCCAGAGTGCGGCGGCCCCGCCCCAAGGGTGGGACCTGCCCGAGGCTCCGTCCCCGTTCGGCCCCGGCGGCTGGGCCCGCCCCGGTTACCAGGCCGCTCTGGCCCGCACGCGGGCGGGGCAAGGGCCCCTGGGGCAACAGCGGCAGCCGCGCCTCCCCCGGCTCCCGCAGGCCCTGACGCTGTCTCCATGGCGACGAAAGACCCCGCCCCTCGTGGGAAACCAGCTCTGGGGGCGGGGTCAGAACACAGCCCGCCCCCGACACGCGAAGCCATAGAGACGGGGCCGCCGGCTAGAGCAGCCCTGCGGGCCTCGCCGGGCCGAAGCCGCGCGCCCGCGGATGGTCACGTGATCGGCAGGTTGGCCTGGCTCCGATAGGCTCCCGGGGCGTGCGAACTGGCCTTTGATTGGCCGAGGTAAGGGGGCAAGGCGTCAGGGCGGAAGTAACCCCTCCCAGCGTGCCTTGCGCTACTGGGTGCTCCGGCCCCGGGGCAGGGGGCAGCCGCGCCGCGCGGACTGAGGCATGATGGGAAGGAAGGGGCGCTCGGTGGCCGAGCGGAAGCGGCGAGCGCCCCTGGGGCGGGCACCGCGGCCCCCTGGAGGCCGCCCCGCGACGGGCCCGTTTCCTGGGGCGTGAGCGGCCGAGGGCTGCCGCCCGCTCGGCCCCAGGCAGGCGGTGGCGGGAGGTCGCGGCGCGGGCGGACGCGGGCGGACGGGGGTCGCCGTGGCCGCGGCCCGCGAGACCTTCGGGGCGAGCCTCGGGGCGGCCCGCGAGACCCTCGGGGCGAGCCTCGGGGCGGCCCGTCGCCAGCGGCTCCGTCGTCCCGCGGGCGGCACCCCGGCGGCGAGCACCGCTCTCTGAGCACAAGCCTCGGCGGCCACGGCTCGGGTCCCGGCCGCAGGCCCTTGGGCGTTACCGCTCCTGAGGGCTGAGCGGTGCCCGCTGATCCTTGTGCCCAGCGACTGTCCGCTTTGGCCAGCGCACAAGGCAGGGCTGGCCCACGATGGCCTGTGTCAACAAACCAGTCGGAGAACACTTCACTCTCTCTGGTCACTCCAGTACAGCCCTAAAAGTCGCAATATTACAACAAAACAACTTCAGAAACAGACTCCAAGGAGAGACTGCTGAATTGGAATTAATTTGCAAACTGGATACAATTAACTTAGGCTTGAATAGAGACTGGGAGCGGATAGGTCATTACACAAAGTAAAACTATTTCCCCTCCTGCTGTTCCTCGCACTTTCTTGTCAACTGCTGGAAATGGCCCACCTTGATTATCACTACAAAAGGTCCCCACCCCCCCACCGCTCTTCTGCTGGTAATAGTTCACCTTAATGACAGGTTTCAGGGTAACCTTAAGTGATCACTCTCTTGTTACAGTGTGTATGGTAACACCCACTGTTTCATGTTCTCTGTGTATATAAAATCGTCCTACTGTATTTTCCACTGCATGCATCCGATGAAGTGAGCTGTAGCTCACGAAAGCTTATGCTCAAATAAATTGGTTAGTCTCTAAGGCGCCACAAGTCCTCCTTTTCTTTTTGCGGATACAGACTAACACGGCTGCTACTCTGAAAACTAACTAAAAACTGGTTTCAGAGGAACAGCCGTGTTAGTCTGTATTCGCAAAAAGAAAAGGAGTACTTGTGGCACCTTAGAGACTAACCAATTTATTTGAGCATGAGCTTTCGTAATTTTCCCCCTGCTGTTACTCACACCTTCTTATCAAAAAGAAAAGGAGTACTTGTGGCACCTTAGAGACTAACCAATTTATTTGAGCATGAGCTTTCGTGAGCTACAGCTCACTTCAGGATGAAGTGAGCTGTAGCTCACGAAAGCTCATGCTCAAATAAATTGGTTAGTCTCTAAGGTGCCACAAGTACTCCTTTTCTTTTTGCGAATACAGACTAACATGGCTGTTCCTCTGAAACCTTCTTATCAACTGTTTGAAATGGGCCATCCTGATTATCACTACAAAAGTTTTTTTTTTTCTCCTGCTGATAATAGCCCACCTTAATCGATTGGTCTTGTTAAGAGTTGGTATGGCAACCCCCATTTTTTCATTTTCTCTGTTTATATACCTATCTATATAGCGGATGCATGCATGCATCCAATGAAGTGGGCTTTAGCCCACAAAAGCTTATGCTCAAATAAATTTGTTAGTCTCTAAGGTGCCACAAGTACTCCTGTTCTTTCTGCTGATACAGACTAACATGGCTACCGCTCTGAAACCAGTCAACCTGTGGAACTCATTGCCAGGGGATGTTGTGAAGGCCAAAAGTACCACTGGGTTCAAAAAAGAATTAGAGAAGTTCCTGGAGAATAGGTCCATCAATGGCTATTAACCAAGATAGTCAGGGATGCAACCCGATTACCTGGGTGTCCCTAAACCTCTCACTGCCAGAAGCTGGGAGTGGACAACAGGGATGGATCACTCAATAATTGCCCTGGTCTGTTCATTCCCTCTGAAGCACTTAACATTAGCCACTGTAGGACAGGAGGCTAGATGGACCTTTGGTCTGACCTAATATGGCCATTATCATGTTCTTAAGACAATGGTGAATCCAGTTGCCAGGACATTGACACCTAGCAAGCAGTGACCCAGAGGGATATGGATTTCCCCACCTCTACTTAGGGAAGCTGAACAACAATCCCCAGCTCGAGATCAAAGGACAGGAGAGGCATGAGGTGGGGGATAAGAGCTGGCAGCTGGAAGGAGTCGGGGCTCTCACCTGGTCCGATGCAGGAGGTCAGACAGTAAGACAGACAGAGAGTGTGAACCAAGGGGTTCACTGCAGCATGGCTGGGCTCTGGGCTGATCAGAATGGTCTCTGCTTTAACCTTCATTCCTCTCTGCTGATCCAAGGCCTTCCTGTGCTGTGTCCAATTGCTAATAAACCCAACTTTCTCAGAACTGTGTGAGTGCCCCTGCAGATGCTGGTGGGGCTGCATTGCTCCCTAAGATAGTACAAGTCTCCCTCAGGGGTCTGCCTCAGTGGGACTCGCTGACTGGAGCTCATGGTGGGAAGCAAAGGGGCTAAAGGGCCAGAGATGCTGCCTAAGGAGGCGGTGATACTGCATGGTCCTCCCAGAGACTGTTCCAAAGCTGGGGCCATAGCACTAATCCTGGGGATCTGTGACACACCCCAATGTCCTGGACCATCCCCTCCTGCATGGAACCTGACCCCCTCCAACACCCTCAACTGCCATCTCCTGCTGGGAGACCCAACCCCCACAATGTGCCTGACCAACCACATCCACTGGAAGCCCAGACTCCCTCAGTGCCCCTGACTCCCACAACACTCCCTGACTGTCCCCTCCCACTGGGAACCCAACCCCACCCACCCTGACCCCTCCAATACCCCACTGCAACATGCCCCTCCCGCTGGGACCCCGACCCTCCCCAACACCCATCAAATCCCCTAATCCCCCACCCCCAGCAACATGCCTCCAGCCTCTTAGATCCTTAACCCCCACCCCAAAGCTCCTGACCACCGATTCCACCGCCTCCAACATGACCCCAGCCACTGGGATCCCCGACCCCTCCAATGTCCACCCACAAGACACCTCCAACTGCTCATCCTGCTGACAGCCCTGATGCCACCACCTCCCGCAATAGGCCTGTAGCCTCTTGGAACCTTGACCCCTGCCAACACCAGAAACATGCCCCCAGCCACTCGCTGCCCGACCCCCCCAGCGCCCCTCCCCACATGCCCCCAGTGACCCCCAACATCCCCTGACAGCCCCAACCCCATCAACCTCTGCAATATATCTCTAGCTGCTGGGAGCCCCGACTCCACCAACACCCCCAACCACCGCCTCTCACTGGGAGCCCCAACCCCACCAATGCCCCCGACCATCACCTGTCACTGGGAGCCCTGACCCCTCCAATGCCCCCACTACAAAATTAAGTTGACTTAAGTTGCATCGACATACAGCCATCACAGTAATTAAATTGGTTTGGCATGTCCACACTGGCTCCTTCTGTTGGCGTGCACGTCCACACCAGGAGTCCTTGCACCAATTTAAATGTCAGTAATAGCCTAAGCCCCACCACCCGGGACTGACAGCCAGAACAGTCTGCTGTAAGCAGTGCAGTGTCTACACAGACACTGCATCAACATAACTACATTGACTGAAGTGCTACGTCACTCGTGGAGGTGGAGTTATTAGGTCGTGTACTTGGCGACTTACATCGGTGGGAGAATGGCTGTAGTGTAGACTCTGACAGAGTTAGGTGGACATAAGCTGCCTTACTACAACCTAAGTCTGCAGTGTAGACCAGGCCTTAGCTTTCAAGTGAAAGGCTGATTCTACCAGCTGCTTGCCCCACACATTCCCTGGGGCCCTGAGGGCTAGCATGGAGTCCCTTAAACTCCCTTCTGTCATAAAGATTCTGCAGTCAGATTAGCTGCCAGTTCTGCCAATGACATAGAAACCGGAGTAGCCTTCTGTCCCCAAACTGTAGAGTCCAGCCCCATCTCTCTGAGCTGGGGGGCTCTGCAGGGTTAGGGTAGACTCCAGGCCCATCTCTCTGAGCTGGGGGGCCCTGCAGGGCTACCTATCTATTGTGTTTTTAGGGTGCCTGTCATGGTGGCACTGGAATAAAGCATCTAAGCACTGAAATAAAATGATAAGCTATGATTGGTACATGCTGGAAGCTCCTCTGTGGAATAGAAAGAGGCCACTGGGACGCAGGCACATTCTGATCAAACTGGCCCTTTTCCATGTGCTAGTGGAAAGAAAGCAGACAGGAGCTGCGTGATGCTGCGGTATTTCCAAAGGTGGGGGTTGATTGGTTGTATTCTCCAGAAACAAGCCCACAGTTCAATCATTAACTAGATCAGGAACTTGGGGGTCACCCCCCCGCTTTATCTCCCACTCCCAGCACACCGCAGAGCCCCACCTAAACTCACATGGGGCAAGTGAGGTTAAGGACAAAGCCCGCCATAGAGATCTTTCTTCCTTTCTTGCCAATGATGGTACAACAGGCCAGTCAGCGTCCCAGAGGATCCAGTCTGCCGTGCCCGCAGGGAGAGGGGCAGTGGTTCAAACAGCAAGGTTGCCTCCACGTTGGATCCTGGAGGCAAATCCACAGTCACTCCCTGCTCCCCGACTGCCCCAATGAATGATTCTATAGCAGTTACAAAATACGCAAGAGTGAGACTTGAAAAGCGCGACACCATGTGCAATGCAGAGCCCGTGTGGTTACTCTGTGAGAAGTGTCACCAACTGGCTTCGGAGCTGTGACAGCTGTGGCTCAGGGAGGAGGTATCTCTGGATGATGTGAATGGCTGCTGTCTCTGTAAGGCTCTGGAAGTCCTGGGCAGTTTTGATGGGCAAGTGCCCAGCCAGCTCACAAAGTGCCACATTAAATGCAGCTTCCTCTTTGGTCCCAAAGCAGGACCTCCTGGCCCAGATGAGCACCCGGATTCCAGAGCGGGTCTCTGAGTGGGTTGGCTCCCCAGGAGCAGTTCCCCGGGTCACAAACACGTTGTGTGCAATCTCTTTATCCACCAGGTAGTCAGTGACTCGGCAGACGTTGTGTGCCAGGGCCTCCAGGCCCTCCCCTTCACTGTAGAACAGGAACCCTGGGGCTGGGACTCCCCGCAGGAAGTGGAAGTTGAGTGTGGGGCACAGGAGTTCGCCTGGGGCCGTCTCAATCAGGAGCTCCCAATCCAGGTAAAATCCGTGTAAGTGCAAGTGGTTGACCGAGGCAAAGGCTCCGAGGCTGTTAAACCCAACACGGAAGCCTGGGTGGGCACTGAGAAGAACCGACTCCAGCCCAAACTGGAGCAGCTCCTGGGTGAGAATCTGAGGCAGGCAGAGAGCGGGGTCTGGAATAAAGAGCACATGTCCAAACTCCAAGGGGCTGACGTTAATCACCACTAGGATGCAGTCAAGTGTCCCTGGGAGTTTGGAGTCCGGCGGGCCGCCTTGGAACTGAGAGCACCCCCTGCTGGGATGGTGGGGAGTAGGGCCCCTGACCATATGGAAGAGGATTTCCCCTGGTTTGATCTTATTGAAGTGGAATTGCTGGGGGTCGAATTTCTGCCTGATACTCTGGATGTCCTGTGGCCTCCTCCTCTCCAGACCTCTCTGGATGTTCAGCTGGGCCACAAACCGGACATTCCCAGGCAAGATACGGGTCTGCAGCTCCCCCAGGTGGTACCTGAACAAACCCAGCTTCATCTTTTCCTCCCAGCTGGACTGCAAAGCTCTGTCAAAACGAGACATGGTGTGGCTTGCTGGCCCCTCTGACCTGCTTCTCCACCACCCAACCCCACACAGAACAAAATCCTCTTCACCATAAACAAAGTCCTCCCCACAGGACACTGTACGGCGCTCTGGCTGCTCCTGGGAGGGCAACCCCAATGTTTCATGGAGGACTTGGCTGGCACCCAGGTACGCTGCCATGGTGGAGGAGTAGCAGCACCTGCAGCTGATCTGAAACTAGAGGAACCGGATAGAAAGTGTGAAAATCGGGACAGGAGGTGCGGGGGTAATAGGCGTCTATAGAAGAAAAAGCCCTGAATATCAGGACTGTCCCTATAAAATCAAGACATCTGGTCACCCTATCTGAAACAGAGAATGGAATAACCAGGGGCAGTTATGAGGACATGGATCAAGGGGGTCCCAGGCAAACAGCTTCCCCCATCCTGAGAAAGAAAGAAAGTTTGCCCTGACCCACTCCCTTCCCGGGGGGCATAAATCCTAAAGCAGCTGCTAAGCACTGGCTTTCAGTTTCTCTCCCTCCACCTACTCCTCCCCCTCCCCCGCAGATTTCCCAGTGAGCAGTGGGGCAGATGGGGCAGGATCCTGCAGCTTCCGGGCCATCTCAGAGCTCCTCCTGGAGCAAGCCCCACAGGAAAAGGCTGCACAACTCTAGCCGAGGCTGGAGACCACCCGCCCAGGCTGGTTGGCCGCAGGGTTCTCAGCCGTGCTGGAGGCCCCTCTCCTCTGCCTCTGGGCGTGACTCTCCCGCACCAAGAGCGTGCTCCCGCGCTGCAGGACAGGGGCTGTGAGACCCGTGCAGGGAGAGGCCAGGAGCACGGTGGTGCAGGGGCCAGGACGGTAGAGGAGTGTAAGGGAGCCTGTCCCCAGTGATCCAGGAGGCGCCTGTGTGGACGCGGGCAGTACAGGCAATGTACACGTCTGCAGGCGTGTGCACACACGTGCTAACACTTACAGACCGTTCCTGCCTCTCCTCGCTCAAACCCAGCCCACCACCACCTCTCCCGGGCTGAAACTCACCGCCGGGCGGGTCTCCCTCTCCCAGCGGCCCGGCCCGCCGCTTCACCCGCAGCGAGCCGCGGCTCAGGCTCCTCCTGGCAAGGAAGCTCGTTTCCTGCGGCTCGGGCCCTGCGGAGCCGCCCGCCGCCCGGCTGCAGCCTGGGCTCTCCGGGCAGCGCCGCGCCAGGCTGCTGCGGCGGACACTGACCGGTGGGCCCCGGTTTGCCCGCAGATCCCTGGGCACCGCGGCGGAGCGGCTCCGGGCGGGCGGGGCGATGTCTCGGCTGCCGGGCGGGATCCAAGGCTCGGGCCGGCCGAGGAGAGGCTGGAGCTGGCTCTGCAGCGGCAGGATTGGAGCGACTCCCGCTGCACCTGCCGGCCACACCCCGCTGCGGCCCCTGGGCTCTGCGTCCCTGGGAGGAGGGAGAGGGGGCCGGGCCTGGCTGAGCAGCAGGGAGCTGCGGGGAATGGCTCCTGGCAGCCAGGCCACGCGGGTGCAGAACGGGGTAGAAATTGTGTTTAACTCCAGCGGTTTGCCTCGGGGGGGTTGGTCCAGAATCTCCCCGCACCCCCCAGCGGGCAGCGCCCGGCACACGGAGGACAGCGCCCGGCGCTGCAGGTCCCGGCGGCGCCCGGCACACAGAGAACAGCGCCCGGCGCTGCAGGTCCCGGCGGCGCCCGGCACACGGCGCGCTCTGTGCTGGTGTTATTTGTACTCTGTACACAGTGCTCACAACGTGGCAGGTACCGTGTTTCCCACCTCACCCCGCGCATGGGGCCTGGCTCCCGGGCTGGGGGTCAGAGCAGAGCGAGCGGCTGCAGCACCCAGAACAAGCCTGCGTTGGGAAGGGACCCAGAGGGTTTTGCCAACTTCACACATGGCAGAGCAGGGGTCACGTCACCCACCACTGACAGCTGATGGGCAGCAGTGTTCAGTAGGAGGGGGACACAGCTCCCAGCATGCCCCGCTCTGGGGGTGGTGTCATGGGGTCCCCGGGCGATGCTCTGGAACGGCTCCCCATGAAGCCAGTCAGGACTCTGGGGAAGTCTCCTCTCTGGGAGCAGCCTGTCTGCAGGACACACAGCTCACCTGGCTTCCACTTTCCTGGGTCTGACCTCGGAGCATTCAGCCTCCTCTGCCCCTCCGTGCGCTTCCCACAGCCAGTCCACCCAGGCGGGGTCCTGGGGAAGCCAGAGGGTCCTGCCCCCCAACTCCGCAGTCAGACATGACTCTCAGCCAGCCAATACAACAGAGGTTTATTTTTATATAGATGACAGAAACATGGTATAACGCAGAGCTTGTAGGTGCAGAGAACAGGACCCCTCAGCTGGGTCCATTTTGGGGGGCAATGAGCCAGACAACCCCATCTGCCCTTCACTCCATGTCCCCAGCCAGCCCCAACTGAAACTCCCCCCAGCCCCCCCTCCTCTGGGCTTTGTCCCTGTCCCGGGCCAGGAGGTCTCTGGATTCCTTTGTTCTCCAACCCTTTAGCTCTCACCTTGCAGGGGAGAAGGGCCCAGGCCATCAGTTGCCAGGAAACAGGGTGTCGGCCATTCTCTGTGTCCAGACCCCTGCACACACCTGCCCTCTAGGGCTCTGCAATGATCATACACCCTTATCCCACCAGCTAGATACTTAAGAACTGCAGAGGGGAAACTGAGGCACCCCCACACTATTCAGAGCAAACATTAAGAACAGTCCCATTTTGTCACAGGGGGACACGCAGCTCCCAGCATGCCCCGCTCTGGGGGGGACACAGCTCCCAGCATGCCCCGCGCTGGGGGGCACAGCTCCCAGCATGCCCTGCGCTGGGGGGGGGACACAGCTCCCGGCATGCCCCGCGCTGGGGGGGGGGACACAGCTCCTGGCATGCCCCGCTCTGGGGGGGACACAGCTCCCGGCATGCCCCGCGCTGGGGGGGGGGACACAGCTCCCGGCATGCCCCGCGCTGGGCGGGGGGGGACACAGCTCCCGGCATGCCCCGCCCCGGGAGGCGGCGGCCCTTGGGGGGCGTTGCCATGGGGCGGTGTCCTGGAGACGGAGACTTGGCGGCGGGGCGGCCGGAAGCGGAGCGGCGAAGGGCCCGGCCGGAGTCGCGGAAGTTGGTCCGGGGCCGCCATGGGGGGCTCGGCCAGTCAGCTGCCGCGGGACCTGCTGGACGAGTACCAGGTACCCCCGGGCCGGGCGCTTCCCCCCCAACCCGAGCGCGCCCCCCCGGCCGGGCCGGGCCCCTCCCCCCCCCCCCGAGCGCGCCCCCCCCCGGCCGGGCCGGGCCCGGCCCCTCCCCCCCACCCACCCGAGCGCCCCCCCCCCCCGGCCGGGCCAGGCCCCCCTCCCGGGCCGGGCCCCCCCCCCCGGGCCCGGGCCCTCCCCCCACCCACCCGAGCGCGCCCCTCCCCCCCCCCCCGGCCGGGCCGGGCCCGGCCCCTCCCCCCACCCACCCGAGCGCGCCCCCCCCCGGCCGGGCCGGGCCCCTCCCCCCACGCACCCGAGCCCCCCCCCCGGCCGGGCCGGGCCCCTCCCCCCACGCACCCGAGCGCGCCTCCTCCCCAACCCTCCGGGCCGGGCCCCTCCCCCCCAACCCGAGCGCGCCTCCTCCCCAACCCTCCGGGCCGGGCCCCTCCCCCCACCCACCCGAGCGCGCCCCCCCCCGGCCGGGCCCTTCCCCCCTCGAGCGCCCCCCCTACCGGGCCGGGCCCCTCCCCCCACCCACCCGAGCGCCCCTCCCCCTCCATCCGGCCTGGGCTCCCCCCTGCGCTTCCCCAGCAGCACCGCGGGCCCTGCTCGCTCCACTGCCTCCTCCGCCCAGGGGCGCCTGGCCTGGCCCCTCCTTGCCGCTGAGCTCAGCAACTCTGGGACCCCCCAGTAGGGCTCTGGGACCCCCCAGTAGGGCTCTGGGACCCCCCAGTAGGGCTCTGGGACCCCCCAGTAGGGCTCTGGGCCGAGCTGCCTGCGACCCCCAGGCTGGCACCGAGAGCCCCCCCTCAGCTGAGGTGCCCTGGCAGACGTGCAGGGTTAACTTTCCTCTTTTCTCTTTCCCAGGAGCTGACTTTTCTGACCAAGCAGGAGATCTTGCTGTAAGCACCCCTCGGGCTGACTTTCCTTCCCGGCCCCACAGACCGCTCAGAGGCTAGTGCTGAGCTGTGGGGCCAGGTCTATACACGAGGAGGCAGGCCAGATGCTGGCCCTTGGGGTAGCAGCCCCCAGCCCACGTGGGGAGGGGGAGAGTAATTGCAGGCAGAAGGTGCCAGAGCTCAGTGGGGAGGGGTCTGCGTGGAGCTGGACCCAGACGTGAGGTTGTTCCTCCTGGGCAGTGAGGGGCAGCAGCAGAGGCCTCCAAGAGCAGCCGGGCTCTCGGGCTGAGCACAGGCTAGACGGTCTCTGCTAGGTGACCTGTAGGGCCTGCCTGGCGGACAGTGGGAAGGTTAGACAAGAAACAGTCTCTGATTCAAACAATGCTGCCCTGCTGCTTCCCAGTATGGGGGCTGCTGCTCCGGGGGAGCCCTGGTGTTCATACGGCCCTAGAGTCAGAGTGGCCTGAACCTGCTTGTACGCTGATCCGCCCTGCTGCGCCCTGAGTGCAAGAGCCGGTGCAGGGGCACTTTATTCCTTTGCTCCAAGTTGCTGGGGTGTTGGCATCTGTTGCATTGCACCCTGAAGTAGGTAGAGGTGGATATGGAAGCATGGCCTAGGGGTCAAGCATCCCAGCCCCTGGCGCTTGCAAAGCGGGAGGGGAGTGTGGTGCAGCAGTGGGCAGTGGCCAGGTAGCGCTTCCCTTCTGACCGGGAGCCTCTTCCTGCTCTTGATCCCCGTCTCGGTGTGTTTCCTGGCACAAGGGCACTTTGAACCTAGCCCTCTGTGCGCTGGACTTTGCTTCAGGGTGTGGTGGCTTCTTGGTGTTTCTAGCCTGCTGCTCTCTGGGGTGTCTGGCTTTACTGGCTGCGCTGATGGGCCGCTTGAAGCGAAGCAGGAAAAATAAGATCTCCAGGCTGGGCCATGTGTCAGCGTCTGCCCTACTGATACTATGATGCTGTAGCTGCGAATGTCCATGGGCTCTGCCCAGGGCCTTGTCTAATGCAGCTTTGCTGCGTGTGAAGCTGTTGGCATAAACTCAGCCTAGCCTGGTTGCCAGTGGCACCCTGGCTGAGAGCGAGTCCTGCAGTGTGGGCCAGGCCCACACCGTTGGTCCTGCACGGGAGTCCTGTGTGGTGACATCTCTGCTGCATCCCTGCCTGGCACCCACCCAGCCCTGTAACCTCTGCAGCTGCCTCAGACCTGAGAGTGGGAGAGCACGGCAGCCTGGCATAGGCTAGAGTCTGAGTGCCCCCCTGTGAAAGGACGGGAGTGGGGCAGGGGGTCACAGTGGGGTGTGTCTCGGAGCTGGCACAGGTGGAAGTGTGGATATTGCGGTGCCTGTAGAGGATAGAGAAGAGAGCTGGCCTGCCGGGGACTGATCAGCTAACACTGTTCCTCCTCCCTTACTCCTTGTTTGCGTCAGGGTGTTGTTTCTGGTGTAGCATGGGGAGCGTGCTCAGGGCTGGGGAATAGTCACCCGCTCCAGGCAGCTCTGGGGAAGAATTACCCCTCCACCCCGGCAGGGCTCCCAGCTGAGCTCAGCAGCCTCTGACCCAGACTGTTAGCAGCTCTGCCATGCTCTAATTGTTCTTGTCTCCCAAAGTGCCCACAAGAGATTCAGTGAGCTGCTGCCAAAGGAGGAGAGGGAGAGTATCCTGCTGAAAAGAGTCCCCAAGAGCAAGATCCTCACACTGCCTGAACTGAGGGTATGGTGCACAGCCCCTGCTGCTTGGCCTCCCCCCACCCTGCCCTAGGAGGAACGAGGTCAGACCCTCTGATCTCTTGGTTCTGGGCCAAGACTTGGGTCCTGCCTGGGGGGCAGCTGCCATTTGTTTTGGGCGTGCTCTGCAATCAGGGAGGCGGTTCCAGTCACTGTGAGTTTGCTCCACTTCCCATTCCCTGCTGAGCTGCCAGGGCTGGGGGAAGAGGTGTCCGTCAGCATGGTGCCCAGCTTCTCAGGCCATGCAGGTGCTGCAGGCACCTGACGGCAGGGGGCTAACCAGGAGCAAATGGAATTACACAGGAAGTTCTAAGGGTCTCCACCCAGCCAGGGA